TGGTCCGACAGGTACCACTTCACTTTTTCTCCATAAAAAGAAGGCTGGACAATCCCTGAACCCACTTTTATCCATCAAGTGGTTCAATTGTTTGGGTTGTTTGTTTTTTGGGTTTTTTTTTAGGAAAAGTGAATTCTGGAAATATCCCAGTGGTTTAGGGAAGAACCTAAATCCCACCTGCTGCCCCATTACCTCCACCAGTGGCTTTGCCCTATTTTACCTTCACTCAGCCCTTTTCTTTCCTGCTGCCATCATAGGATCCCCAAACCTCATCTTCCAGGGATGAAGTTAGGATGGATTAACCCCAAATCCCCTTTATTATAGCAGTGGGGAATCCATCTTGGCTTTGACACCCCACCTGTCACACTCTGGGGTGTCTGGAGCTCATCCCTCAAAAACATTCATGGAGATCATGTGCTGCTTTCTGAATTTATAATGAAACCCAGCTCTTATTGCTCATTACCCTGAGATGGAAGGGAACACACCCCAGGTCGGGAGTGGGGTGAAAGCAGGGCAGGCAGATCCCTGAAGAAAACCTACACATAAAAACTGGAAATTTGTCTTTTTGGCTTGTTGCTTCCATCTGTTGGGAGGTAGAAGATGCAGGACAGAGCCTGGAGGGAAAGGCAGAGACCAAGCAGACCAGAAAAAAAAAATATATGAAAAAAAAGGAGAGGGTTTGAAAGAAAAAAACCCAACCTGCTGGAGGGTACAAGAAATATAATTGAGGCAGGAGAGAAATCTGAAATTTAATTAACTTAGCGAGGTAAAGAGCAAATTATACCTCCTGTGAAGGTCAGTGAGGGTGCCACCAGCATTGCCCCGTGTGCCAAGAGGCGTCAGGGGAAGGGTAAATGATTGTTTTGCAAAATCAGCTCGTCACACCCATTGCAATCCCTGCTCCTGTGCTGCCTTACTGGAAAAACTGCTCTTGATTGCACTTTCCCCACAGGCTGCGGCCTCAAAATGCCCAGGAAGAGAGTCCTGGGCCTGTGGTCCAGCTAAGGTTGCTTCAATCCCAGTTCCTGACTGTCTGTACCAAAAGCATCTTAAATGGGAGCCCAGCTCCCAGTTGGAGCTGGGCAGGGGTGGGATGGGGATTGTGCCCACAGGACATCAAAGGTGCCACTAACTGGGGATGTGAAGCTCCACTGAGAGGCTTTAGTGGTTTGGATGGGGAAACCAGAGAGGCTGTGGCTGCTCCATCCCTGGAAGTGTCCAAGGCCAGGTTGGACTGGGTTTGGAGCAACCAGGGCTGGTGGAATGTGACCCTGCCCATGGCAGGGGGTGGGATGAGATGGTCTTTCAGATCCTTTCCAATCCAAACCAAACTGTACCTGCACAGATGAAGCTCTGAGAGTCCAGGCCCTTCTCCATGGGGATGGCCACCAGGTACTGCAGCAAGAAGCCGTTTTCCTTCACGATGTTCTTCAGGACGACCTGGGAGTGCCCATCCAAGCTCCCACCCAGTGTCACCGCCTCCTCTGCGCTCTCCAGGTAGGCCATGAGGGCCCTTCGGACCAACAGCCTCCACGAGGCTGCTTCCTCTGCGTTCTCAGCCTGCAGCTTCAGCACAGCCTTGGAGGTGATCACCTTGAAGAACGCGGGTCCCCCCAGGCTCGTGTCCGGGAGGATGTCCTGGATGGTCTCTATGCCGTAACTGTTGCTCAAAATTTTGTCATTGTTCCTGATTTTAAAGCACTTCAGAGTTTCGAGGGACAGGGAAAAAATGAAAGGGACCCAGGTTTTGTCCAGGTCCATGTACAGAACAGCCTCTTTTATCGCATCCAGCTCCGGCTCGTGGGCTGGAGTCCAGTCCAAGCTGTTCCCAGGCACGTCGCTGTGCTGGAGAGCACTGGAGTCACCCTGGATGGGCTGGGCTTCACCTCCATCCTCGGAATACTCCAGAGTCTCCCACTCGTCCTCCTCCAGCTGCGGCCGGCACTTGTGCAGCGCCTCTCGGATCCTGTCCAGCCAGTCCTCGGCCTCATCCCGAGAAGGGGCTCGGAGGTAGAGCTTCTTCCCCAGGAAAACCAGCTCGAAGCGGCCGTCGGAGTGTGTCAGCGCCAGGGACTCGCAGCGCAGCAGGGAGTAGCTCTCCACACAGATCCGATCCTCGTGGTCCAGGAAGAGCCGGAGCTCCAGCGGCGACAGCTCGCAGAAGAACTCCTTCCAGATGCCCATGGCTCCCCTCCGCTCCAGGCTGCCCAGCTTCAGGAGCCCTCGGAAAGGGTTGGAAAGACCTGGGGGAAAAGATGTCTCGGTTTAACCGAAAAAGGGGAAGCCAGGAGAGAGAGAGAGAAAAGCCAAGGGGGGCTCAAAGCAAGCAACCCAGAGGATGGTAGCTTAGAGAGACTGTCCTGGAGGATGGTGGCATGGGGCAGGAGTTGACAGGACCTCGGTCTCCACCATTTGTCCACCTGCACTTGGGTTTCTGTCCACCTGCATTTGGGTTTTGATGTTGAGAATGAGTGGGATGGCATAAAGAAAAGGTGTCCTGAGGGTGGACAAACCCTCTCCCCCTAAAACACTTCCCACCAGAGCCAGTCGTGGGCTCAGCAATGCCTTGGGAAGCTGCTCCATTGTCTTCTGTGGCTCTTAGTGCTGCCATCAGCTCACACCAGCCAACAGCTGCTGCCCAAACAGCCCATCATGACCCAGGATAATCCCTGAGCACTGCCCAGGGCAGGCACTGGAGGGGAGCAGGAGGTGGCACGTACCCATCTGCCGGCGGTGCACCACACTGAAGCCCTTTTGCTCCCGTTCTGGGGACATTTTGGGTTTCCCACTCTCCGAGGAGGGCACCGAGAGCCTCTCCAAGTCAAGGGCACTGACGAGCCCCGGGGCCAGCCCCTCACTGTCCCCCTCGGGCCTGAATCCATTGGTGTCAGCTGTGCTCCCACTGCTCTCTCCTGGGGAAGGTCTGTAGAAATCATCTTCTGAGATCCAGCTCTTTCTTTTCTGTTAAAAAATTAAATATATTAATTATCAAACTTATCAAACACCCTGTGCTCCTCACACACACACATGTCCACAAAGATCCCTCCTCGGGGGCTGCTCCTGCACAGACCAAATTCCAGGCACTGATGTGTGGGATCCAGTGGGAGGTTCCTCTGCCCATGGCAGGGGAGTGGAACAAGATGAGCTTTAAAGTCCCTTCCAACCCAAACCATTCCATGATTTTCTGCTGGCCATTCCCAGGAGGATGGCTCCCCCTGCTCCTTCCAGTCAGGGACAGTGGGACTGTGTCAACAGCTGGGAAATACTGGGATTCTCTCTTGGTGGGATTATAAAGTGCAAAATCAATCAGTTCTCTCCCCCTAAAATCACTGTGGAGGGAGAGCACATTCCCTGCAGTGACCACAGGCATTTGGAGTGTCCTGATGGAGGGTGGGATTCCAGCCCTGCCATGGAACAGCATGAGCTTGCCTGGAGCAGCAGCACCAGCCATGTTCCAGGAGGAGCAACAATGGGGAGAGGTACAGAGAAGATGTCCAGGATGAAATAGAAGACCTGTGGCTCACAAACACCCAGCCTGAGCCATGCAAGGAAAAAACAAAGCAGGGAAGGCAGAAGAAACCTTTGTCTGCTATGTCAGGAGGGGATGAGACCCATGGGCAGAAGAAAACATGGCTGTAACTTCTCCAGGAGTTCTTCTGGCTACAAGAATCACAGAATCATTAAGGTTGGAAAAGCCCTCCAAGATCATCAAGTCCAACCTGTGACCAATTCCCCCTTGTCACCAAGCCCAGAGCACTGAGTGCCACGTCCAGTCATTCCTTGGACACCTCCAGGAATGGGGATTCCACCACCTCCCTGGGCAGCCCTTTCAGTGAAGAAATTCCTCCTGAAAGGCACAAGGTTCTGGGACAAGGTCCCTGAACAAACAGCAGTAGGAAAAAACCCAGCTCAGTGCCCTGGCACGAGGGAGCAGCATCCCTACACTCAGGGCTGCATCCCACCAGGAATGTCCTCTCAACTTCCCTTCCCAGCTTTCCAAGAGCCTTTTATCCTGAATAACAAGGTAAGGGACAGCACAAGAGCTGTCACCACCCTGTGGCAGGATCACGGGGGTGGTGATGGTGCAGCTCCTGCAGCTCCCGGCTTACTCCTGGGGCAGGAATGCAGGTTGCTCCGTGAGTCATGGGAGAGCAGGGGGAATTTCCTGTTGACACAGTATGTTATACATAGATTAGGTCAAACTGGCTCAGGGCCACGAGGAAGCAGCGGAAACGGGATAAGCGGGAGGGAACTGAAAGGAGCAGAGAGCAGGAATGGTCTGGGGGGTATGAGGTATATCTTAACCTCACCAGGGTGGAAAGGATGGGAACCAGGATGGAAACAATGGGAACCAGGACGGAAAAGTCAGTAACAAATCAGACAGAGGACGAGGCTGTTCAAAGAGTTTCCTAAAAGCAAAAGCGAGTGGATGTGGCTCAGCTCCGTGTGGCTGCAGGGGAAATCCGCCGCTGCCCAAGCCCGGCACCTGGGAATGCCATCCCACTCTGGGAACAGATGTGCTGCAGGAGGGTTTTTCTGCTGGGAAACTACTTTATTTCCTGTCCAGTCAACCCTTTTCCTCCTCTTACGTGGACCATAAAGGAAGAAAAGTCCCCATGAGAACCTCAGTTCCAGGATTGTTTTATCTCTTGCACACAGCCCACGGCCAGATTTGTGTGAGAGCTCATCCCTCTCCAGATATCCTTAACAAACTTCCTGCTGCAGCCACTCCTGGAGAGGGATGACTGACAGGCCAGGCAGGCATTCAAAGGCTTTGGTGCCTCTTTTACCAGAGAATACAGACTTTGATCCAATTTCTCCCAGAGCAGCTGCATGGATACCTACTCCATGGAGTCCAGGAAGATGCCTGTGGAGTGGGGAGCATCACTGGCAACCAAGTGGGAGCAGCACAGAAGATGGGAGTTTGGAGAAATCCATTTCTGAAAGTGTTTAATCCCAGGTTAGGTGGGCTTGGAGCAACCTGGTCAAGTGGAAAGTGTCCCTTCCAACCCAAACCATTCTGGGATTACCTAATTCTATGAAACCGCTGCCTACTCAAAAAACCATAATGAGTTTTGTTTTTCCTTTTCCATTAGGTCAGAGAGCAAAACACCAGGGAGATGGGAAGGGAAGGAGCTGTAAGACCTACCGGACAGCCCAGCAGGGGAGAGAGCAGGTACTCAGCCGTGGGACTCCGGACTGCCAGGCTGCCCTCGCCGCTGCCACGCTCCCCTCTGCTTGGACCATCCCTCCGTGGGGCTGGAATGCTGGCTGTGCCACCAGCATCTCCCTCCTCATGGCTGGTGGGTGCTGTGTCACCTGTTGGAGCGGAGCTCTTGGTGCTGGGGGGTGGTTCCTGGTGTGCTCTGGGGGTTGGTGCCGGGGGTCCCGCGGGTGGCCGGGGGGAACAGCCCAGCACGCTGGGGACCAGCCGTCCCTCCGGAGCCTCCGGGCTCGGCCTGGCTTTGCTGAACTCGGACAACACCCTTGAAAGGGAAAAATTATTGGTTTGAATGCAGCTGCAATGGCCAAAACCTGTAAAACCCCCCCAGTTATTGTAAATTATAACTGTGTAAAAAGGGCTCGGCAGCACTGCCATCCTCCATGGGCTGGCAGCACGGTGTGGCTGGAAAATCCCAATGATGCCAACAGAAAAATGTGGGATTTGTGCCCCACAGAGCAGCCTCAGCCCCATGGCACGGCAGCAGGACCCTGCCTGCAATGGGAGCATTCCCCAGTTACACACATTAAAGGGGTTTGATTCCATGGATGCAGGGAGTGCTGGGTGCTCCCACAGCCCCAGCCCCATGTACAGCTCCTGGACACGAATCCAGCCTTGGACCATGTGCCAAATTTCAACTGTTTTCGTTAATGAGCAATTAATAGTGGAGCCTGGCCAGAGGAGTGGCTGTTCCCATGGCCCCGCTTCACTGCCAGCCCCAGAATCAAACCAGCCCAAGATTAAAACTTGAAACAGCATCTCCATCACGAGTTTAATCCAATCAAGGCAGGTTCTTCCAGGACCTTTGGAAGATGCAAAATCCTGAAAGTAGGGAATGATGCTGTTATAGATGGGGGAGCACAGCCTGCAGCTCTAAACCCTCCTGAAGACCTTCACTGGCAAGAGGCATCATCCTGAGGCTGGGCTCCCTCAGAGTCACATTTTAAAGGTGGTACGGAAAATATTTACTGACTACTCAGAGCTTATATAACCCTGGAAATCTTTGTGCTGGATGCTCGGCAGGAATAAATCACAAGGATGACAAACCAACAACCTCCCTCCTCTGAGTGATCTGCAGAAGCTGCAAATTATAACCCTCCCTGTGACCAAACTCATTTCTTTCCCCTCATGGAAAGCCCTGGAGCAACCCCCAGCATGCACCAGGGAGATGTGACATTCCTGAAACCAGGGAGCAGCATTTTTCTGACGTTTCTGCCCTGCTAAAGAGGACACACACAGACTTCAGTGGCCACGAGCTCATTTGCAGTGGCAGCAGGGGCTCAGTGAGCTGTGCCGAGTGGTTCGTAAATACAATGAAGGCCCTTTCCAGGAGGGAAAAAACCAGCTTGTGAAAGAAAAACAGGGAGAAAGGCTTCCTTCTTGTAGAGAGAAAATATTGAGAGCCCAGAGAGGGTTAAAAATCCCTTTGGAGAGGAGAGCTGGGGCAGGACTCACTCTTGCAGTGACCTGTCCAGGTCCTCAGCGGTGGCCGTGCCCAGGTCGGAGTCGCAGGACAGCGGCTCCTCGCTGCGCTCGGGGCTGCGGGCGCAGGGAGCCGGCGGGAGGCTGTCAGAGCCCAGGCTGGAGGAGAGCTGGGATGAGCTCGTGGTGTTCAGGCTCAGCGAGGATGAGGTGAGCTTGATCTTGCTGCTGGCTTTGCTGATGGGCAGCACCGAGGGCTGGATCTCGATCTCGTCCGACCCCGACGACTGCGAGATGGAACCCAGCGACGCTTTCCTGCGGGGCTCGGATGTGAGGGGCTCCAGCAGCTCCGAAACGGGACACAGACCTGACAGGGACAGGGGGGTGACGGTCCACTCATTCAGAACTGCTGATTTATAGGACAGCTCGAAGGTTAGGGACGATAAACCCTGCAAGTAGCAGAGGAGAAACTCGCACTCCTCGGCATCCAGGAGCAGAGCGGGCGCTTGGTAGTACTCGGACAGCCGGGAGCGATCCCGCAGGAGCAGCTTCAAGTAACACTCCATGAGCCCATCATTCAGTGCCAGCCTCAGCCAGGCACGGCAGCGACCCACGTCTGTGTTGATAAACATGAGCTGTTCCAGTTCCGAGACAATATTCCTGGGAAAAAGGAGGACAAAGGACAGAACAGGACGTGAGCGGCTCCGTTTAGGTCCATCATGGGGCAGAGGAGAAGCAAAGCCTCCATCAGGAACTGCCCAACCTGCTCTGCTATGGGGAGTTTAGAAGCTGGGATAAAACAGGCTGTGGAAAATCTCTTTCCTTCATGGAAAATGTGGTTTGCCATGGAGGAAAATAGCTCCTGAATGCCCCAAAGCTAAATATGTTGGTAAGGACCGAAGGCAGCCCTTGGGTGCTTCAGCTTCTTCTCTTCTCTCTGGCTGGAGGCATTTCCCACCCATTGCTTGCCCTGGACCAAGGATGCAGAGGGGGCAATTCCTGCTGTCCCTGCATATTAGTGGGGTTTGCGCTGGCTGGATCCTCCTTGGTGACAACCACGTGTCTAAATCCTCACTTCAAATTTAAAAGCAGCCAAAACACAGTGAAAACTGCTGTGGCAGCCCCAAAAAAACAACCTGGCTTGGGTCGAGCTCCTCAAGCAATCTCAGCCTCTGGAATTCAACTGTTCTTCCCTAAGATCCAACAGCGACACCACGGTCCCTGGATCCTGCCTGCTCCCAGCTCACACCGGCACCACAGATGCCTCAAAAACCAGGGCAAAAGTTTTGTAAGACTTCTTTTCTAATCTGTCTCTCAAGACAGAAGAAAAAAACCTTCAAAGGGCACAAAAATATCCCCTGTAGAATGTGAAAGAATTATTTTCATCCGCTCTTTCATAATTCAGGAGTCGGTTGATGGAGCTGGATGAGGCTTTCAGAACAATTTGTGTGTGGGCTGTTATTTACTGTGGGAGAACTTAGCTTAGGGAGTGGCTCAGAAAAACCCCAGTAAATAGTAGTCACCCAGAGAGACCTCCTCGAAGGCTGTTGGGATGTGGGGAAACGGGGCCAACCAGCCCCAGTAGATCCAGGTCAGGAGAGAGACCAGATCCCTGCATGTGCATCCCATAAACAGCTGCTGCCAGACACCACTGCAGTCACTGGGGTTCCACGGGGGACCTGGAACCACCACATACAGCCTGGCACCCAAAAATAAATAGAAAGGGGTGTGTCTTCACAATTCATCCCTCAGCTGTTTGGGGACATCAGCTCATCCCCAGCACACGCTCAGAGGGGCCATAGGGGGCCCAGCCCCTCTCAGCACCACAGGGGCTTTGCTCTCCTACCTCCAACCCCCCAAACCCCTGTGAGAGCCTCTTCCCCAAACTGAACGGACTGAGCATGCAGGATGGGGTAGAGATGCACTGAGCCATCCTGCTGTCCACCATTCCCTGAATTTTACTGCACCAAAGACAAGGGATAAACGCGAGCGCGCAAATCCCTCTCAGCAGCAACAGGCACTCACCGATGGGTGATGCTCTTCAGCAGGCCCCAAAAGACTGGCTGGGGAAGGGGTCCCCGACCCCCTGATTTCTTCCCTTTCCCCCCAGCCTGTGCCTTGATGTGCTTAGCCTTCAGCCCATGCACAAAAACAGCTTCCAGGGCGCTGCAGAGTGTGTTGGCATTGCCGTCATCGCTGGTGACGACGGCGTCCGAGCTCACGTACTGCTTCTGCAGAGCCTTGATGGCATTCACCAGCTGCTTCTTGATCAGCTGAAAGGCAGGAGGTGCATGTTTGGATCATAAAAAGAAAATGATTAGGAAGGTTTTCATGTAAAAGGGCTCAAACCCAGCAAGGCTCATTCACAGCAAAGCACCACGTGATTCCTGCCTCCTCCTTTGCAGTGGCTGAACTGGGAGCATTGCAGCTGAACTGGTTGAGCTGGGGTCTCACACTGTTGGCATTACAGTTCGTGTAGCTTATTTTGTTAAAAAAATAATAATTAATGCAATTTTGTGGTGTTTCAGAGCTGGGGTTGCTTTTGGAGCACGTGGTGCTTCCTCTGCAGGCAGCAAATGGCTTAAGGGGGTAGGGAAGGCACTTTCTCGGGGGAAACACGAGGATTAAGTAAGTGTGGGTGAGAAAGGAGAAGCTCAGAGGAGGGAACAGAGCCCCTGAGCTCGTGCAGGTCAGCCCAAGCAGCATGTGACATGTGACACGCTGACGGGTCCCACAGCAGAAATCAAAGCCATCGACCTCGCTGGCCGTGCTGGTTAAACCTCAGGCACTGCTGGGATGGGCCCCAAAAACAGAGGGGTTTGGAAGGACACAGGGGTTCAGCTCCTGCCTTTGAAGAGACTCAGCAGGTTCTGAAGCTGGAACTTGGGATTTTTACCTTCCAGCAGCTTTGCTTCCCTCTCCCACCAGTCAAAAGCAGGAAGTTCAGTGAATTTTATGCTGGTGGAGAGGATTTTTTTCCTCATGCAGCTGAGCCTGGGTGTCTCAACCAACCTTATTTCAAATCCAGGTTGTGTTTACAAGCAGGCACTTGGAAAACACCACAAATTCCTCTGGGGCCCCGCCACGTTTCAGCATCAGGCAGCATTCCAGGCAAACGCTGAACATTCCCTGACCAGGGCTTGGGCAGACTTTGACTCGAGCCTGGGCTGGCTGCACAAACCCATATTAAATTTCCAGCCTGGGATATTTTTTTCAGCATCTAAATAAGATTTCCAGCAGCTGGAGCTCAAGGACAACAGTGGGGGGAGTGTGTCCCTTATTGGGGTGCTGTTTTCCAGCTGCTCCCCAGGTCTGCTGGCCCAAGGAAGGAGCACCACGGGCTGAGAGGATTAAAGAGTGCAAATGATTTTATCAGCCACACATGGAGTCATCCTGCTGTGGGATGAACTAAACACTCAGGTTTAACTGCTGCTGTTGATATTGTTAAAGGTGTTTAAACTCCCAAAGTTGAGTGAAGAGACCCCAAACTGGGGGGGGTGACAACACCCCTTCACCCAGGTATCGGGGCTGAGCACCTTCCCTGCCCCACCCATGTGGGGTCTTGTAAAGCCCTGGTGTGACTTAACCCACACACACCTTATTTCCTTTAATCCCCCTGCCCAGACAAACCATCCCAATCCCAATATAAACCATCCCAATCCCAGCTGGCAGCACCCACGTCCCCAGCAGTGACTGGAGTTGCACTGGGCAGTACCTGGAGCTATGCGGGGAGCACTGGGGGGGGGTCTGGCTCACCTGTATGGCTTCCTTGGGATCATCGAGGTGGCTGGAATGCATCTCCGCTGCTGCTGCTCCCGGTGCCGGGCGCTGCCTTCACATGTCACCTGGGGAGAGGAGGAGATGTCTGAGCACCCAGTGGGGTTACACCCGACTCACCTGCCAGCTGAAGGGCTTCTGGTGCCATGCAAAAGGGGTGGATCGTGCACTGAGGAATTCTGCAGGTGCTCATGGCCAGGATGCTGCTGGATCCGAGCTGGGAGTGAGCTACGACCTCATGAAAAGGTGCCACACTTTCCAGGGACCAGGAGAGTTTTGGGCAAAACAGAGCATGGCCAAGAGCCTGGGAGGGAGTAATTAACCCCTGTGAGGTTCCAGCAGGCAGCCCCCAGGCTGGGTGAGCTGCCAGGCAGGTCCAGCCAGCAGCACCACACACAGGGCCAGGGACGGCTGCCCCTCTCCCTGTGTCACCTGCAATGCCTGAGCCTGAAGGATGGCACCCAAAAACCATGGGAGTGGCATGAGGTGGCCTGGACAAGGGGGTGTCACCCCCTAGCAGGCTGTGGGAAGATATGAGGAGGAGGAGGAGCAGCAATGCTGCTGCCCAACTCAGCTGGGACAGACTCTCTGGGCACAGAGCTGTCTGGGAAGATGGGAAGGAATCATGGAATATCAGAATGGTTTGGGTTGGAAGGGACCTTAAGGACCATCCAGTTTCACCCTCTGCAATGGGCAGGGACACCTTCCACCAGCCCAGGTTGCTCCAAGCCCCATCCAACCTGGTCTTTGACACTTGGCAGCCACAGTTTCTCTGGGCACCCTGTGCCAGGGCCTCACCACCCTCGTGGATAAGAATTTCTTCCCAATATCCAATCTGAATCTCCTGTTTTAGTTTAAACCCATTCCCCCTTTTCTTGTCACTTGTCTGCCTGTGTAAAGTCGCTCTGTACCTTTTTTATAAGCCCCTTTAAGCACTGGAAGGCTGCAGGTTCTCCATGAGGCTGATAAATCCCAGGACTTTCCCACTCCAGGGGGTGCAGATGCCAGGGCTGCTCTGAGGCTTTGGTGGGAGACAGAGAAAAATCAGTGCCCTCCCACTATGGGAAACCCTGGAAAACCAGATGTGAGCAGGCAGTGGCAGCCTGGCTGGGTCATCTGCCACTGCAGGGGGTTTGCAGACAAGGGACCTTTGACTTCTGACTCTTGGCTTCCTGCCCTGTTCCTCTCTGGGAGCCATTTGGCAAAATTGAGGTGTCCCTGGAGCCCCTGAGGGCAGAACACGTGGCTGTCAGAGAGATGCCCATGGCACAGCTGGATCCCTAACCAAAAACCATGGATCCCAGCATGGAAAAGGGTCCAAGAGCTGCTCCAGCACCTGCTACGGCCCGAAGTTTCCTAAGGATGTGAGAGGTTGGAGGAGGAATTTATTCACAGAATCCCAGAATCCTTTGGGTTGGAAGGGACCTCAAAGTTCACCCAATCCCACCTTCAACTAGTCCAGGTTGCTCCAAGCCCTGTCCAACCTGGCCTTGGACACTTCCAGGGATGTGGCAGCCACAGCTTCTCTGGGCAACCTGTGCCAGTGTCTGACCTCCCTCCCAGGGAAGAATTTCTTGCCAATATCCCATCTAACCCTGCCCTTTGGCAGTGGGAAGCAATTCCCTCTTGTCCTATTAAGCCATTCCCTTAAGTTGGAATCACTTGACATCCAAGAGAAGGAGAGCCCAGCACTGGCCACAGGGCTGGATATACCCCTGGCAGACAATGGCCTTGGAATGGGCATCGATGTTTTTAGGTTTTATTTCCAAGCCAACACAAAAATCCCAGAGCTTTTCCTGAGCAGAGCTGATGGTATCAACCTGCCCCTCTGCTGCCAAGCCTGGGCAGAACTGTGCTTTACTGAGCAGCTCCTACATGGCCATGGCCAGTCCCAAGGGCAGTGGTGGTCCAAATCCAGAGCAGTTTAAACCCAGAGCAGCCCAAATCCAGAGCAGTTTAAATCAGGAGCAGCCCAGACCAAGAGCAGCCCCTGCAGGTACCCCACCAGCCACTCCTGCTGGGAGCAGCAGGACAAGAGCTCTTTGGGGCCAAACCCCGGATTGATCCTCAGTGTTTCCAGAGTTCACAGGCAATTTCAGAGAAAAGGAAACTGTTTTCGCCACGACTTGTCATAAGATTTCCTCCCTTTGGGTTGCAACACAGAAATGGGAGAGTGCAGGGATTACAGGGAAGTTGACCTCTGGCTCAAGAGGCTGCTGGGGGGCTTGGGGAGCGAGGCAACCCCCAAGTGGCAGCAGTGGTTGATGAGGACAGCAGGGAGCCATCCCCATCTCTGCCCTCCATCCAGGAGGCTCTGGCTCCTTGGGGCTGGACAACCTCTGTACCCTTTCCCACCACATCCTGTGAACAAGAGACACATCCCACCTGAGACACTGAGAGTGGGAGAAGACCCGAGGGTGGGCATAGGGTGGCATTTCTCATGCCCAGACAGGCAGCACAGGTGTTTCAGCTCCAGGACTGCAGCCACCACCCGTGCTCTTGGCGTTGGCCACCCTGACACCCTGAGCCGGTCACAGGGAAAGGGGTGACAGCGGTGGTTTTGCAAAGACCTCGTCTTAAGTTTTACAAAGACCTTGCCTAACTTTTACAAAGCGAGTGTTATTCCCCCAAAAGACATGTTCCTTTGCCAGCATCACCTCCTCCAGCAACTGCAGGAGGTAAGACACTGAGGGCACCCGCCGCCTTCACCACAGGACTCTCCACTCCCACCACGACCAGTCCGACCAGTTTGCTCCAGCACCACGAATCCACGCGGCACCACTTATGTTGGGACAACATTTTCCTGAATAATGAGTGCAAGGAACCAGCTCCAAGGTGGATTTCACCCAAGACTTGTGCTGGGAGGAAATTGGAGAACACAGGGAAATCGGATCGGCAGCCCTGGCACTGGCTCTAGAAGGGACCAGGGGGCTCTGGAGCAGATCCTGGAAAGCCATGGCTGTTCCCTGTGATCTTGAAGGCATAAGAGATGGGATGGATGTGCAAACACAGACAAGCCCATCTACAGCAGAGAAAACCCACGAGGTTTCCCAGCAGTCGCCACCCCCGCAGCTCGAGTGAAAATCAAACAAGTGAGGAACAGCCCCAGAGAAGGAGTTTGACCTACCGAGGAGGAGAGACACTGGCGCAAGGGCAGAGCTGCTGCTTTCCCAAACTGCTGCAAAACAGCCAGATTCTTTGGGATTCTTGCTGGAATCAAGCCTTGTGCCAGCAGAGGCAGAGCCCCCCGTCCCAGAGCTCGGCTCCTCAGTCTCCCAAGAAGTGAGTTATAAATAAACAGCAGGTCACTGCCTGTGCTCAGCGGGTGGAAAACAACAGCCCACGACGGCGGCGTGAGCTGGTGACTCAAGGCCTGGACACGGGGCCAGTCATTTTCCAAGCACGAGGGCCGTGCCAGTCACCTTCTGCCCCAGGACATGGGGGCTCTGACGGGATGGTGGGTCCAAGGGCCAGTGTGGGGACAACCCTGTCCTCCCACCCAGCTCCTGCATTCCACCCTGGCCATGCTAAAAACACAAGCTGAGCCCAGGCAGAGGCAGCCTGGCAGCAGGGGAGACAGCTGGTATGGCTGGTGGGGTGGCTGGGTGGAGGATAAAACCCCTTGGAAACAGGTTGGCAAGGGTTAGGGCTGGGCAGATCACCCTCATGGTCTGACTTTGGTTCCTTCCCTGAACCCAGCCTGGCCTGAGGCAGCACTGCTGTGATTCCCAGGGCAGGAACACAGGCCTGGCATGAGGAACAGGTCCATCACACCACCCTCATCCCCACGGAACCATCTCCTCGCAGCTCACAAACCTGCTGGTGGCCAGGGAAGCGTCGTCGCTGATGAACCCTCCGAGTTCTGCCCCGTGGGAGCCCAGGAGCAGCTGGGGCAGGAGGAGCAGCCACTGAGCTCCCAGCCTGGATGGTGAGACTGTGTTTCCCAACACTCCAAACCGGGAATTCCCTTCAATCTGTTGCCTACTCCTGCACCAGGGTACAATTTGCCAGAGCCGCAGGGAGAGCTGGAGTTGATTTTCTGAGGGAGCCGCCGCGCAGGGGCGAAGCGGGTTCTGAAACCTCCAGTGTGTCGAGGCAAGGTGTTCCCAGATTTAATACTCCCAGTTTTCGTGTCCCTTCGGATTCCCAGCGCTGGAGTTTCCCAGCTGGTTTTCCCGGTGCCATCCGGCGCAGCGGGGGGTTCGCATCCGTGGGGATGGGAGACAGGGGTCACTGGAAGGGAAGGCAACAAGGAGACGACTTTTTAAACTCTGTATTTCCACAAGAATTACCCAGAGCTGGTCACTTTCAGTGAAAAATCCGTGGTTTATTGAGGATGGAATGCCTGATAAACCAGGGAAAGCTGCAGGGATCCCACAGGCAGTGGGATCTCGGGCTGGTGGAGGAACAGGCCGAGAGGTTTGGGGTGTCAGTGCTGGCAGGAGGGGATTGAGGACCAGGCACCAACCCGCTGTGGGACCCCACAGAAGGGTGCACCTGACCTGCTGCCACCCCACCCTAACCCTGACCTGTGTGGGGCCTGGCACGGGTGGGCTGGGGGTCTGGGGGGCGTTGGGTGGGGGGAGATCGGGCCCTGCCCAGGGAGATGCAGGCAGGGCTGGTGTGGGGAAGGGTCAGTGGCCGTGGGGAGCTGGAGGAGGGCAGTGTTTGCTTGCACCACTCTGCACCCCCTCACCCTGCGCCCCATCAGACACCTCATCACCCTGTACCCCATGGCCCCCATCACCTGCACCCCTCGTCAGACCCCTCATTACCCTGCACCCCCTGTCAGACACCGATCACCTGCACTCCCTGTCAACCCACAATCACCCTGTACCCCCTGTCAGACCCCCATCACCCTGTCCCCCTTGCCCCCCCCCTCCCCCCCCCCCCCCCCTCACCGGCTCCGCGCCTCCGCCCGGGGAACCCGGAAATGCCGGGAGCGCGCACGTCCCGCCCCTCGTGACGTCACCGCGCAGCCGGGCCACGCCCCTCCCGCCTTCCCGCGGGCACCGCGCGGGGGCGCGCGCGGGCACCGGGACGGGTCCGCAGGGACACGATGGAATGTCCTGAGCGGGGAGGGAGCGCAGGGAGCGTCCGCTCCGACCCCTGCCCCTGCACACACCCCCCAGCAATCCCACCCTGTCCCTCAGAGCGTTGTCCAAACCCTCCTGGAGCTCTGGCAGCCTTGGTGCCGTGCCCACTGCCCTGGGGAGCCTGATCAGTGCCCAACCACCCTCTGGGGGAAGAACCTTTTCCTGAGATCCAACCTGACCCTGCCCTGGCACAGCTCCGGCAGTTCCCTGGGTCGTGTCACTGACCACAGAGAGCAGAGATCGGAGCTGCCCCTGCACTGCCCCTCGGGAGGAATTTGAAAACACCGGTGAGGTCTGACCTCAGTCCCCTCTTCTCCTGCTGAACAAACCAAGTGACCTCAGCCTCCTCATACGGCTTCATCGTCCTCATGGCCTCCTTTGAATGCTAATATTGTGTCTTCTTTTATATTGTGTCCCAATATTGCAGGTGAGGCTGCCCCAGGTCAGAGCAGAGTGGGACAGTCCCTTCCCTCTGGGCCCGATGCCCCCCGGGACGGGGTTGGCCCTCCTGGCTGCCAGGGCACTGCTGAGTCATGGCCAACTGGCCACCCACCAGGACCCCCAGGGCCCTTTCCCGCAGCTGCTCTCCAGCCTCTCATTCCCCAGTCTGTACACACACGGAAACAACCTCCCCCTGCGCCAGACACTTCCCCTTTCCCTCCCCCCCCCTCCGCCCCCCGCCGTCTCACAGGACACTGTGGCTGCAGAAAATGGGATTTATTGGGAGAGCATTCCCAACAGGGATAGACAAAACCAGCTGGACAAAAGGGGCTGCGGGGAGGGGACTCTGCCACACGTGCTGACCCCCTGGACATTGCAACCCTGGCAAGGCTGCGCGCTCCGGAGCCTGCGCGGCGGCAGCGGCTGCTCAGGACACCTGGGGCTGCCTGGATCACCTCTTCCTATTCCCTAAGGAGGAGCTTTGAGGGCCCAGGGCATCCCACCCCCCTGTTCCCAGGTCCCCAGAGAGATCTATGGGGGTCCTAAGCCATCCCACCTCCCTCTTCCCACCCCCCTGTTCCCAGGTCCCCAGGGAGAAGCTTGGAGGGTCCCAGGGATCCCACCCCCATTCCCAGGTCCCAGGGAAGCTCCTCAGGGTGTCCTGAGCACGGCAGCTGCCTGCAGCATTCTCTCTGCAGAGAGGGGTCACGGAGTCAGCGGCCCAGATTTTGGGGTGCTGGAGGCAGAGCAGCATCCGGGCAGGAGCATCTTGGATGCGGGCAAAGGCATTTCCTCAAGCTTCTTCCACCTGGAATAACAGAGGAAATCACATCCAAGGAAGTAACAGTGAAGGAAATAACATTCAAGGAAAGGGTCAAGGAAACATCAGTAAGGAAATAGCCAAGGAAACAGACTCCAAGGAAATAGGATCCAAGGAAATAAGACTAAGAAAATGACAAGGAAATAACAGTTAGGGAACTAGGTTCCAAGGATATAGCCACCAAGGGAATAGCATCCAAGGAAACCTCAACAGTTCCTATATCAGAACAAGACCTGAAGAAGCAGCACAGGTATTGCTTGTCTTAAAAACATCCGCCAGGCCCTCGATTCCCAGGAAAACAACTCCCTGGATGAGCTGTGCAATGCAGAGTACTGGGGTGTGGAGGAAGAGATTTTCCTACACACTTCAACTTGCTGGGAATACTCTGGGTTTGACTTTGAAGTGATGGGAAACAGGCAAGTGCTGGAAAGCACCGTGGAGGGGAATGATTGGGAGAGGTGAGGGTGTGTGCAGAGGGGCAGCACTGGAATGTGCTCCCTGCTCTTACCTGCTCTACATCCTTTGCCTTGTTGTACTCATCTTTCCTCCCTCTCTGCCACAGTATTTTAAAGAACCTGATAAAAAAAAGGGAAAATGAAGATCAAAAGTGAAGACAGCTGTTGATGGTGGTTGAGGGCAGAAAGGTTGCGTGTGCCCTGCCCTGTCAGGGAAGCAGCCACTGGAGGAGTTGGGAAGTGACATTTCCAGCAGGGCAAACCATTGGAGTTTGCAAGGGAGACGGGGAAAAAAAGGTTTTTGGGCATCATCTCCACAGAATTCCCTGCTCCCAGTCCATGAACAGGGAGGTTTGGCCAGGGAGGGCAGCAGCAGTGCCAGCAGCTCTCCCTGCTTCTGGCA